TGTCACTAGGGTACAACTTAATATGATTGGGCTATTCAATTATGGTATATATAAATTAAAAAAATAAGTATAATTTTATGTACTTTAAAAATTACATCTTATTTTTATATTCTTTTAATTAATAAAATTTTTTAATTCTCGTTCACCTTTCAATCACTCATAAGTAAAAGAACAAAAATTATATTTACTTTCACAATAACAGTATAACACTTTAAATGTCACAATAACATCCATTTACTTAATTTGAAGAATAAATTTATAATTGCTTATGTGTTAATTAATTGGAAATACCATTACATAATAAAAAAAAGGGGAAAAAATCTAAGAATTTAAGGGGAAGGAAAGAAATTTTTTTATTTGTTAAATAAAAAATTATAAAGAATGGGAGAAAATATTTTTATTTTACTTTAAATTTTTTACATTTAAGCATAGCCAGATAAAAAGAAAAGAAACCAAAAAAAAAAAAATTTCTTTTACTTTGTCTTTTATATCGTTTGTTTGCTTCAAATCAAATAAGGAGTAAAGAGAAGTAATGACGCACGTGAGAGGGGGGGAACAGAGTGATGAATGAAATGAAACTGCGAGGAAAGAAAGGCTGAGACTTTGCCCTGCTCAACACTCATCCCATCAACCAAGAGGCCAAGGGAAGGGACTTTGTCACTTTGATTCTCGCTTTCCCAGGTTTGTCTTGCTTTAAAATTTTTTAATTCCTTAAAGGCTTGGAAAAGGGAAAGGCTACAACTACAATTAATTAGGCAAATTTTTTTTATTAATTTTTTTATATTTAATAATTATATTAAGTCTCAACTAATTTAAAATTAAATTGTATTAGATTTCATCAATAAAAAAACTCTCTCACATTTATTTTTTTATTTACAAGACTCGAACTCAAAATTTTATTTAAGAAAAATCAAGTTTTTTTTGTTCGGATCAATAAATTATTAATTTTTTATTTTAATTAAATCCTTTGTTAATTGGGTGTAATTTTTCTCGAGTTTTGAGATTAATTTTTTTAAAATGATTTTACAATGCATTTCTTGTAAATTGTATTATATATAAAAAAAATTTAATTTATAGGTTGATCTAACCTTAACTTCGGGTTGGAGGCTAATTATTACTTAATAATCATTTTTCATTCTTGCATGGCTCCGTCCTTAATTGGATTCCCTGCCTCATTTGAATATAATTAAAGTAGAAGCAGGTTATCATGAAAAAAATAAATAAAAGCTGGTGAAAGTGAAGTGAAAAAGCACAAATACCTCCCCCTCCCATCCCCCTCATCATTGTAGAAAGACTGCCAACTTTCTTTTGAATTTTCAAAATCAGCTTGTTTTCCTTTCTAACCTCCAGTCCATTCCATGCACCAATATCATTGAATTCTAAAGTACTTTGTCCACCATCAAAGATAGGCAATACATAGTCAATAACTGATTTTGAACTAGTAAAAAATCCTTCTCAAATATGCATTTCCGTAGTTTGTGAGAGGGTAAACAGCTACCCGGTTTCCTCAAGAGCGTATCATGGGGGGCCCAATAAGGTAAATTAATTTTCCAATGACCTATGATTGGCAAGTCTATGAAGACTGATTGACAGGTCAAAAATATTTAAGTCGGTTCATCATGTGAGTCTCAAGCAATAGCTAAGATGTGATTTGATATTATAAATTTTTTATATTTAATTTTTTTAATAAGTATAACTATGATCATGTAAAAAATATTAAAAATATATAAATATTGATTTTTTATAAATAAATTAATTATAATATTTAAAATTATTAAAATATAAATTAATAATAATTTATTAAGTAATAAATAATATTTAAAAACTTATGCAACCTTAACACTTCGTTTCCTAGCCGTAACCATGCACTCCTTAGGCTTTCACTCTTTTGTTTCCTAAAAGGATTTCTATTTTCAATTAGTAATTTGATTCAATTACGTGTTAAGTAAAAAATCTCAACTAATAAAATAATAAGGAAAATTAATGTATGAAAATTTTAATCTAGTGTTTCATGTGTGAATAACAATTATATATAGTTATAGTTATTATTAAATTTGTTAAGTTTATTAAAATTATTAAATTTTTATGTTAATTTAATTATTAAAAATAATTAATATTATTATTTTAATAAATTAAAATTAATTTATAAATATATATTTTTAAAAATTATAATTAATTAATTAAAAAATTAATTAAATTAAAATTAAAATTAATAATTTTAACAAAATTTTTAATAACAATAACTTTTACCGAAAATGACCATTAAATTAAGAAAAAAAAATTCATTCCTTCCTACATTCGAAAAATTAACCTAATTTAGTAATTTACGTCATGGAGTATATTTTCTTTTTTACAAAAAAAATTATATTAAAAACTACTAGTACTAGTAAAAACGATTTGGGTGCAATGATAACGTAGCGCAAATTGTTCTGACAGATTTATTTTTCCTACTGTTGATGATAGAGGTAGGGAGTACTCAGGTGACATCGTCATGCCAACGTTCTCTTTAATCTTTTTGCTTACCTTTGCCTTACCCCCCCCAGTTTACCGTCGATCCACGAAACGGAATGCTACAGTGCTTCAGACCTAACCTCTGTCCTGCTGCCCCCACATGCGCTCCACCAGGCCACCAGAAAAGGACGTAATTAAAACGATGAGACTAGCGACTCTGTAATGGCGTCACTCTGTTCCTGTTTGCGTGAAGTGTGGGGGTCCTGGTTGGGGGGGAAGATCTCTAATACTGTACAGTCTGTACTGTACTACGTAAAATAAAATTGCCTTTTGTGAATTCAAAGAAAATGGAAAAAATTGGAGGGGGAGGGATCTGATTCGGCTCTGGGGAGTACTTTCTCCTCCACTTTGCACCGTCCGATGCGCCTTGAAAGTCGGAAATGGCGACCCGATCACTTTCTTTACCAACACTGTTAGCGGCCCCCAGTGTCTGCAAACCCTACAGCCTACGCTCTGTTAGGGTTAGGCGCGCCCTGCTCTGTTCGAGTGATTTTTTTTTATAGTAAAATTTAATTCATTAAAAATATTATAATTACAATGTTTTTGTTAAATTATAAAATTTATTATAAATTTATAAATATAATTTAAATAAATATAAATTGTATTTTATAAATTATATTATATTAAATTATAAATTTTTAAATTTTAAATAAAGAGTAAAATTTTTGTATTAAAATTTTTTATTTTATATAATTTTAGCTATAAAATAATAAATTTTATTGAATAATATCATATATGGTATTTAAATAAAACTAATCAACAACAGAATTATAATTTACACGTAATATTATAAACATATCATTAAAAAAAAAAGGAAATCGGTAATAAATTAACTTACGCACGAGTTGGTTTGGAGAAAAAAATAAAAACATTTTGGACCAATGAAGTTAAGAAAGCCAAAACGGTACAGTTTTTATGAATAATTGTGGGGAAAAGGATGTCTAGTTAATTGGGTACTAATTGGGCCCTTAATTGCGTAAATACTAGGGAATTAGGGTCCCTGCGTTGAACGTTCCTTTTCTAAATTTTCCTTTTCTTGGTGATGTGTTATGTTTTGGAATCAAAGGAGATATGTGAGCAGTGCTAGATGCAATAATTAAGCCATATATGGTTGAAGAGAAAGGGATTGATTCCCAACCCCATTGACAGGGAGAGTTGAAATCAGTCCAAATGGTGCAGACAAAGTTAGTTACATATTAGCCATG